GTGCATTTTTACGTGGTGCCACCAAACAAAGAAAAAGGACGAGGAGAGAGGAGAGGAGAGCGCCCTCCCCCCCCCCCCCCCCCCCCCCAGAGATGAAATCGGTACTATTTCATTTGCGGATAGTGATATTCGGCATAGTCAACTTTCAATAAAGTTTCGCTACACATCCTTTTATGAGATGCCAAGAGCAAAACAATTAATAAGATATACCATCAACGATCCAACCGATTTTTTTTTTAGAATTAATTAGTTGTATGTTTGTTTAGTATATATTTTACAAATTCTCACTGGTGGAAAAGCATTTGCTGGTACTGATTCAAATATTCAAGTTATTATTCGTGGTTCAGCGAGTCAAACACGACAATTAGCATTAACAAGTAGTGGAGCAAATTTATTTGAACAAAATCAATTAGATACATTTGCAATTGTTGGTTGGGATATTGGTGATTTATCAGAGATAACGTAAATTCAATTATAGTCTTTTAATTTATAGAAATTGTAAATAAATTTTAAAAAAATAATTTCTTATTTCTAGTGTTGAATCTGACCAATCGCAATTAGCATCTGATTGGGATCTTAAAGATATGATAATGTGGAAAATACTACCGAATGATGATGATAAACAATTACAAGTTTATTTTCCATTTAATGCTTGGCTTGGAAAAACATCAAGTAAATTAAAAGCAAAAAAAGAGATATATCCAACAACTGATCATCGTCAAAATGGTAAATTTTTGTTTGAGAATTTAGTTTATGTTTATGATGATTTATAGGACCTACATGTTATCACATAACAGTTAGAACTGGCAAAGGAATGACGGCTGGTACGGATGCAAATGTATTTATAATTATCTATGGAAAAAGTGGTCGAACTGCTGTACATCGATTAGATAATTCATTAAAAAATGATTTTGAACGTGATACAACATCAGAATTTACTGTAAGGAAATAAACATAAAACTATATAGAATACTAATAAATAGATGAGTATGCCAAACATATTTGTATTTGAAATAATAGTATCTTTCTGATAATTGGGACTTATCGCGATTTCAAATATCTGTTATTTTATCATGAAAATGCGTTGTGTGAATGAGAGATGCATACACCTAACTGCTTTTCAAGTGCCATAGTTGATAATGATCTGCAGAAAAATCGAAATTTTTCCAGAGACTTTTCGACCGATTGAATTGAAAAAGTTTTGTTTTATTGGAAGTTGATCAAGACGGAATGTAGGCTTTTTGTTGTTGGAAAAATTATCGCATCTGTTAACTTTTTACAGATTTTACAAAATTTGCGTCAATCGAAATAGATCTGATTCTCATTTTTCAACAATCTAATCTTTTTTGAAGAAAAAAAAAACTAAGATTTAAAATTGGTTGTAGTGTCACAATAAAGAATTTCATAGAAAATCGATGAATTTTGAACGATGGTGAATGGAGGAAACTTCAGTTCATTGTTAATATTTGCATCCTCTATATCTAATAGAAGGAAGTAGTCAAGGATAACTTTTACTCGACTCATTAAAATCTTTTTTTCGTTGAAATTTTAAAAATTTTTAATCCAGCCGGTTTTAAGAAATTTCGAATAAGAAGTGCAGGACATTCTTAAGTATTCAACATATTTGAGGTATTTGGAAAAGATGCAAACACCCATATCTTTTACCAATGTTATAGCTTGTATGACCGTGCTCAATCGATTTCTATTATCAATTACTATATTTGACATTACAGAGTGTTATATACGCCGCTAGCACCAGCATCATATTCTCTTGTTCTTCAGCTGACGGCGCGTTTCTTTTCGTTCTGTCTCTCGATTTTTGGTCTGTTGTACTGATTTCTATATTCTATTTCTCGTCTTCCTGTTTCTTTCCTGTGCATTGAATCTGACAATGTTGTCCGAGATCGTGCTATTCTTCAATGAAACAAAATGAAAACGAAGCATATGCTAGCAGATATGAAACTCTATACTGTTCAATATCTTAATTGATAATAGAGATCTATTGAACACGTTCACACGAACTATATGCAAAATTCAATAATAAAGCTTACAATTTAGAAAATAAATCTCTTCTATTTTTCTAGGTCTAGCGTATAAAAGCCTAATATTTTGGTATGTGCTAAAGTCGAATAGGTCTACTTACTGATAGAAGATATGGATGTTCGAATTTTTTTTCCACCGATACTCACATATTTGTATAAGGTGAAATTATTCAATTGAACCATTAACTAATATTTAGATAAAAAACAATAATACCCTCATTCTTGTATTCTCAAACCCGTAAGTCTATCACTAATACTTATTTTCACGTCTCATTTTTTTCTTTCTTTATTGAGGAAACTTTACCAGAATATATATATAAAATTGTTAAATTACGAAAACAAAGATTCTTTTTCTATCTGCCATTTTTCATTTCTCTGATTCTCTCCCATGAGATTGAGAATCTAATAAGACAAAAAAGAAAAGAAACAACAATGTGTTTCTGTACACTTCTAATCTATGTCGGAGAGTAAGATCGTAGAACATCTTATGAAGGTATGATGATGATGATGATGATTGGTTTCTGTCGTTACGAGCTGATCTTTTCCGAAATAAGTTTCAATGATGAGACAAATCTATCATCAGTAGACTTATCGATGATACTTGAAAACATATACATCTCTTAATATGTTTTATTTAATATAGATCATGGATATTGATATTGGAAAAATTGATCGAATAAAAGTTTGGCATGATAATTCTGGTGTAGGTCCAGCTTGGTTACTTGATTCAATAATAATTCGTAAAAAACATTCAATATGTCGTCCAATAACAGACATATATATTCAACGTCTTGAAAAAATAAGTCAAATTTTATATCATCAAGCATGTGAACAATTAAAAAGAGATCATAATCTACAATTATCTTCAACAAAAGAAAATGAATCACGTTCAATTGATCGACGACAAAGTTCAAAATTAAAAGATTTGGATGATTTATCAAGTAGTCGGGGTATTTTACGTAGTCCAATTATATATGATAAAGCTAATTCACAAAAAAAAGTTACATTTGATGAACAAAGTCTTGGTTCTCAAGATGAACAATTTGCAATCGATACACAACGAATGAAAAATACGCAAAAAGTACTTGAACAAAAAAATAAAAGAGATTATTCATCACCACGAATTGAAACTGGTCGTTTTGAACATCAAGCATATTGGATATCATCTCATAATTATATTGATAATAAATGGCAAATTAATTCTATTGAAGAATCTAAGACATTTGATTTAGATCCAACAACACGTTTATTACTTCTATCAGATCGTTCATCAATAAATACTAAAATAAAAACATCAATTAAGGAAAAAGATGATGATATTTATGAATTTCAAGCTAACTGTTGGTTAACTACAGATAAAGGTCAAAAACCTGAAGTAATTTTAAATCCAAAATCAGTTCAATTATCAAAAACAGAAACAAAATTAAAATCATTATCATCATCATTATCAGATATGAAAAATGATACACAAAAACGAACTGTTATTTCAACAACAAAAACATCTTCTAACATTCAACATGATAAATATAATGATGAAAATTCAAAACGTTCATCACAATTTGATCTTGGACCATTAGAAAGATCACCAAGAAGTCAAGCATCGTTAGATCGACCATTACGTGATTTATCAAAAACACAATATGATGATTTATATTCATCTCAACGAAGTGATCAAAAATTTTCTACTGCTTTAAAACGACAAGAAGAATCTTCTATTGATAAATATCATCGTTCATCATCACCAAATCAACGTCCAATATCTCCTCATAGTAACAAAAATCTTAAAATTTCATCAACTAGTGAACAAGAATTATTATCAAAAGCTTCATATGAATCAGCATATCATACACGACCAGCAGCTACTTCATTAATCGATACTCGATCATCATTATTGAATCAATATTCAAAATCACCAAGATCTACTAAAGAACCTATGAGTTCATTGATTAGTAATCGAGACTTATCCGAAAAAATGTCGACTGAATCATCAATAAAACCGAAATCAGTAACACGTACAACTGTTGAAATGCCTTCAAATAAAATAACACGAAGTAAGTTTCATTGTTTTTATAGATTAATTATTGTGTCTTTTATGTCTATTTCTTGTTAAGATCAAATATATAGTTCTGCTTATGGTACAACATCATCGGATGGTTTTTAATTGATATATATATATAAATGTGATCATAAGATGTTTTCAATTTAACCTGTATAATTTTTTTTACATTGAATAAATGTTTTTTTTTTTTCTATAAATCAATAGCCATTTGTGGGTGCTCTGTTTGTTTGTGTTTTTTTTTTATTTCTTAACCATAAATTTCTTCCGAATAAAAAGTATCGTAGTCTTCAAGCTTCCGTGGTAACAAAATATAAGTTCATACGTGTTCTATTTTCTGTTATTTTCTATTGGTCTTTTACTAACGACGATCGAAGCTAAACAAATATTAGAGTTAACAAACGGCACTGAAAATAGTTTTGAGCTTATTCGTAGATTGTAATATTGGTAACTGTTGAATTATTGGACAAAACGCTGATGAGAAATATAATCATGGCAACAAGTGTATTATTACATAGACGTCATTATCAGATCTTAGTGTCAGATAGATATGTGACACAAGAGACTAAGTAGTAACATTGAAGTTTTCAAGGAAAAGTCACGGTAAAACCATCATCTAAAGTTAAATTAACTACTGTTTGAGTGTTGTTCTATAATGATTTCTACTTGTTACAGAAATATTCAAACAGTAAAATTTAATCAATCGAGTTATACAGTCAAAAGAATTGTTAGGATAATTATAAATGCAATCAAGATGAACACTATGAAATCGAAATATAAACATTCGATTGTTGACAATCATATCATTTCAATCATTTTTATAACTTTATATATCCATAAACTTGTGTGATAAGAATAAAATATACCGATGATTCTCTAGATGAATTATTTACTTGAATATCAAGTAATCGAAAAATGAATGTCATCAACAATGAAGACATTCTCCCCCGATTCATATAAATTATAAAATGTATATCATATAGATAGTTGTTTGATATCTTATTGACAAAACACTATATATATATATATGCAGCTATGATGTTTATATTAAATGAATTTCTATGAAATCTTGACAAAAATAGAACATCTGTTAATAACTTTTGTGAAACACGATCTAAACGAAGTGTTGAAGTACAGAAATAAAAACGTTGATATATAGACTCTATATCAATAACATATGACCTACTTTCTTAGTGCATTTCTGAAGAATTACAGTAAAAGAATGGTGAAGAAATGTGTCTCAGAATAAGTAAACTAAAAAAGGCCTCCCTGTGATTATCAAGAGCATCTACATCGTGTTTCACATTTTAATCCCGTGGTGATTGCGCTAAGAGCTTTTTTTGTTTATTAGCTTTGCATATTCAATTTTGTATTCCTATGTCAATTGATGAATAATTCTTATTATTGTCATATTTTTTTTTTGATAGATATTTAATTTACATTCTATCTTATAATTATTGAAGATAAACAAAAACAAACAATCCTAATTGTTATTATTATTAAACATAAGAAAAAGAAAGTCTTTCACTATTAAACATATTAATTGATGAAAGTATCGTTAGTCTACAAACTACGTTTTATTTTACAAATAATACTTGACAATTCTTCTAACGGATTTATTTAAAAAAGACTAACATGTGACATTCATGACATACATTATAAATACTCCGATGTCAAATGAACGTTCTCAAATAAGAAATTATCATATATGATACTTGGCACTCATCATAAATCTACGTCCTCATTAAGATTATTAAACGAAATAAATAATCAAATATATATATTACACATAAGATTCTTTATAAGCATGATGTAAACATATATTAGAATAAATTTTATGAACTTGTCATGTCTTATAATGATATCAAAGTTTTCTTTTGAAAGATTTATCGTAATATATAGTTTAAGCGTGAATGGATTTGTCGATAAAATTTAGATATATTAAATTTTTTCTAACTTCCGACAAGCTCAATGACATTTATTAACTGTCTTCGATGATAATCACGTCTCATCATTAAGACTAAGATCCTTTTTCATCTTAAACATTCGTCTAGTAAAAAGAAAAATAAAACAATAGATTATCAACGATAGAAAAGTAATTGCTTGAGATGATGATGATAATGATGATGACAACAACGATTTATGAGCACGTCCCTGTGTTATTCCACGCTCAATTCCGCTTTATTATTGATGATTTCTTTCTTTTTTTTCTATCGCTGCTTTTCTTTTTTTTTTTCTCTCTTCAAAAGAAATTCCTACAAGAAAAAAAAAAAAACTGAACTCAGTAGAGACAACACACACAATTGTCTTGTTTGTATAAGCATTTTATTTTTTTTTCTTGTAAATGATCTCCATGTGGCTAATTATTGCATGTCGAGTGTTAGTATCATATTAATTATTTTGATCAATAATATTTATCAAACACTAGCTATAACTCAATGTAATTTATTAAATCCTATTGATTTACAAGCAGCTGCATATAATCATTCATTAATTTTACGTGTACAACCAATATATTCATCTGAAACAATTGAAAAAACTATTGTAATAAGTGAAGTTCTCGTACGTGAAGTAATAAAAATTTCAACAAATAGTTATCATAAAATAAAAATGAATGATTTAATTTTAATTCGAATCGATAATAATATTGATGAAATACTTGATGATTCATGTTGGTATTTACTTCGAATAACAACAGTTGATATTATACTTTTTCTCAATGAAACAAATACAAATGAATTCGATTTACGATTTCCACCTGTTGAATCAACATTATATGTTCGACATAATATTGATGCTGTTATAAATTATGGTAAATAATTTATGATATTTTACTTGAATAAACTATTTGCTTGAAAACAAGTGTTTATGTTCATGTTCTTCCTTTTTTTTGTTTTGTTTACCGAAACTCTCTTGATGAGGTTCATCGGTGACATATAAAAGGGAAAAAAAAAGCGACGGCATTGTTCTAATATTTCCGTTGTTTGAAAATGAATGCATGTAAAATATTTAGAGTTAATATTTAAATAGTTAATTATGTATTCAATCAAATACAATTGAAAATTTTATTCTTTTGTATTTAGAAACTTATTCACCTCGAGTTATAATTAAAACTCAAATTGATAAACCGGTTTTAGAAAATAGTTATTCTTTACAATGTAATGTTCGTGGTAATCCACTACCACGTTTATTCTGGAGTAAATATAATCAAACATTAGAATATTATCCATCAACTACACAATGTAAAACATCATGTCGGATTTATTCTAATCAAAATGAGTAAAATAAAAATAAAAAATATTTTGTTTCTTTTTCCATTTTGTAAACGATTTAATTTTAGATATGAATCGATTTTATATTTTCAAACATTAACAATTGACGATAGTGGCATTTATGTATGCCGTAAGTAGTCTTTTGTCATTTTAATATTCATCAAATGTTTATTTATTAGATGCAGAAAATGCAATAAATTATACGATGACTAGTGTCTATATAGATGTCGATCAAACTAATATAATAAATCGATCGAATATAAATGTGACTTGTGCCATTTTAAAATATTGTCATCATCGAGGTCAATGTGTTAATGTTAATAATCAATGGAAATGCTTGTAAGTAGTCAAGAGTCTTTTAATGTCTTAAAAAAGAATCATATTGATTCGTTAAGCCTTTTTTTTTGATTGATTGGAGATTTTCTGTTTGTTTTAATTAGATGTGACAATCGATATATTGGAAATGAATGTGAAACAAATTATGATGATATAATAAAAAAACAAAATAGTAAGATCATCAAAATGACAAGAAAAGAAAAAAAATGAATATTTTTCTTTTGTTGTAGATGATATTCTTTTATTTAAATCACGTTTATTGACTAGTGGTATTTTGATTCTTATTGGTTTTGTTATAATATTGATTGCTATTATCTCTTATTTTTATGCAAGACATAAAAAAATAAAACAAAAAAAATGTTCAACATCTAAACGAATTATTAATGGAAAAATTTTGGAATCTCAATTGATTGAGCCAATAAATAAACCTGAAATACAACAATCCTTATCAATTCCTATAGTTCGCATAATAAATAATCGTTCAATATTAATGAAAGAATCAACAACAACAACAACAACAGACAATGATAATAATGAATATAAGAATTCAAATGGTTTTTGTAGTTTAACAAAAACAAATGAAGAATGTTTTCCATTAAACATGAATAACACTGAAGAATCTAATTTTCAATCATCAAGAAATGGTTTAATTCTATCTAAAGGTTATTTAGAATTTTATCAACCAGATGCTCAATCAGGTTTAATACGACCTTTAACTATTCGGACAAATACACCAAATCATTATAAAAAAAAAATTTCATCACATCATCGATTTCTTTTATCTCGATCACTTGATCAATAATAATGTTCGATTTTTTCAATTGTTGTTTTGTTTTCATATGTGTATTTGTTGTTTTACGTTACTTGAATTTTTCAGTTATACAAAAAGAAAAATTTATTAAATTTATGAACAAATCTCAATAACAATTTATTATCCTTCACGAACAGTATTTGCAATCAAAAAGATTACTCGTTAAATTCTAATAAAAATTGTAGATTGAGAAAGTTCATTAAGACGACATACTATTATTATTCTGCTGTCTTTGTTTTTCAAACCTATGAAATATGATTAATAAAAAATATATTTCAGAGTCTTCTCTTTTGATATTTTAAATGATTAATTTTTATTGTATTTAAAATAGTTGAAAACTACTTTTGAGAATTCAGTAAGTTATTAATTTAATTAGTCTAAAATTATTATCTATGATTTTTATTCTTTTTCATATTTGAAAAAAAAATTATTTTTGCTTTCATTATGAACAAATGATTAAAAATGTAATTTGACGAAAATTACATTCATTTTTCAGACTCTAAAACGATTCTGCAAAAATTTTGAATCAAAACTTTTGTTTTATTGACAAGTTTAAATTTCAAATTCTTCGAACATTCGACAATTAGATTTAGACAGAGAAAATTAACACTCTTTTGCATAGAATAAAACATGAGATTATTCTCTACAAATTAATATAAGAATCAAGGGTTTCAAAATAAACATTCAGGAATGACTGAGTTCACTTGACAAATCTGTCTTCCATAGAAATCGAGAAAAATGCTCAAATTAGCAGGATGTTCTTTGTCAAAACACTTAATGTTGACAAATAACTTGCAGCAAACTAATTCTTAATATAACATTTTATAACGAAATGTTTGTTCTATTCAAAATAATTTTTCTTTCTATTTTAGATGAGTTTTGACATGCTGAAACAGGTCGACTCATAACTCTTGCAAAATACTTTTTTAATCATTCGTTATTTAATAGAAATAATGTGCAAAATCAAAATCAAAATATGATTTAAATGTATTATTTCTAACAATAAATCTATTTCCTAAATAAAAATAAAAATCATTGAAATTATTAAAATAAGTGAAGAAGAAAAAAAAAGTCTACATTACATTCAATACATATAAAGTATTTTCATTATTTTGAAAATCTTCAACTGATAAGTTGAATGAATAAAATAATCAATCTCTAAAAGATTCCTTTGATGAAAGAAAACAAAACTAATCCGATTAAAACTTATTTACGTGCTTCTACTATCTTTTTCTATTCTCATCATTTGTTAGAAATCATTCTAGGGACGATTCTAACATCGATATAATATATGATAAGGTATCTCTTTAGAGAGAAAAAAAAAATTTTTCTTTTCACGATACATCTTGACAGAAGTCTAAATAATGAAGAACCATCCAAATATAGATCAAGACATTGAACATCACGAACAGAATAAGATCAAATCCGATGAATTTCTTCGAGGCCTATTCGTAGTCGTGACGAAAAAAAAAAACTGGCACTATCTATTTTCTTTCTTCAATCAAGGACATCCTTTGACAGTCAGACTGTATAATAAGAGAACAAATTTTTGTATTTCTTTAGATTAATTTATTAAACATGTGTTAGTGGTTTTCTATAATAGAACATTGTCTTTCGATAATTTATTGTTTACATAAATCATATAACATGACATAAAAATTCAATAGTTATTATGAATTTCATTTACTATAAACAATCAAATCAATTAAAATTTCGAATTCTAATATTAATTTTATATTTTTTGAGTATTAGTTTGTTTTGTTTTTTTCTTTCTTTCTTTTTCTTAACGCATGACGATCAGTGCAAGTAGCTACCAATTGAACTTGTCATCAATGCCGAACAAACGTCGACGATTTAGTTATAAAAAAAAAAAAAAAATCCTTGTTATTGTTAGTGTCCTTGATCGAGATGTTGTGGTTTGTTTTTATTGGATAGCACTACATGTTCTTTAGTTTGCTACTATGAACAGATTCTATTAACGCTTGCGTTGTTCAATATGACTTGCACGCCCGTCTGCACACGCTCGTACGATGTTCGGAAAAAAAAACAAACGAGAAAAATCGTTCATTTCTTTTCCTCTTTTCTTTCTTGTTCCGGACGTTGAATAAACTTGTTCGTTATTATCGACAAAAGAAAAAAAAAAAAAAATAGAAGCGAACGTTTTTAATCTTTTATGAGATGTGACGTACGCCTGTCCTTGTTCTTCACATTGCCGTCTTTTTTCTTTTATTTGTTCATTTTTTTTTGTCGTGTCGGTAAATGTTGAACCGATAGAGATGATACTTATGTTGTTTATCTCATGTACATTTTCATTACACTAACTTATGTTATATCATCATCACATCTCTTACTCGCCTTAATAAGTATTATTGTTGGCATTATTTCACAAAGTCGATCACTTGTCTGGATGGCACATAGTGTATCACCTATATGGAGTGGTTTTTTCGTACGTTTACTAAATTATAAGTTTCTTTAAAAAAAAACAAGATTATTTATTCTTTTAAGTTTGCTCTTTGTGGTGGAATTGGAATAATCTGTGCACGTCAAAAAGGTCTTTATGTGGTAAATAAAATTAGTTTATAAGTTAAATTTCTATTTTTAAAAATGATATTTATACCAATTTAGATATTATGCTATGTAGCATTAAGTATTGTCACACTTATTGTGGATTGTGTTAACATTCAACTTTTACGTTTAGGAGTTGTTAATATAATGACTGATGGACAAGCTTATTTAAAAGACCGAAAAGATGTACTTGTACTTATTGCATTAGTTGTATCATCAATTGAATGTATTCTTTGTTTATTAAGTTTATCCGTTGGTATACGATTATCATATGATGCAGCTAATAGAAAATTTCGTAAACGAGAAGGTGCATTTTTTGTACAAGTACTTTCTGAAAAAGAAATTGTTGTTGTATCAAAAGCACCATCATCAAAACATTCTGGTTCTCGTCATGAATCGGTTCAATCATTCGACCGAACATCGACATAATAATGTTTTCTTAATCTAGTATTTCTTTTCTTTTCTTTTCTTTTCTTTTCTTTTTTTGTATTTATTTAAAGTAAAACAAAGTCTATAATTTGTTAATTAACAAATATTTCTTATATGTCAATAGCATAGAAAGTAAAATGTTATACATAAAAATTCATGATAAAAATAATGTAAACATGTAAATGTTAAATCTATAGAATTTATGATTATAAATTCTAGATAATTCTATTGGATTACATCGGATTTAAATCAAAGCAATCAGCCATTAACTATTCCCGATTCTTAATGGTTATATCCTATTATTTATATGAGATTGAAGGCTTTTGGAAACCCAGTAAATTCTTCGATTTAATACAAAATTCTTGTTCAAACTAATATGAAATTAAATATCTAGTATCGTTTGCTAATAAAGTTTCTTCTTCTACAAAGCCAATCGTTATGTAATATTGGAAACGTATGCTAAGCATTGAAAATGGTAGTTTTGTCATACTGTGTATTTCCAAAGAACAGAAATATGACGTCAATAATAATCATAATTGTTAAAAAATAATCGAACAGATTAATATTCTAAACATGCTTACCAAATCCAGATTTCAGAAATCAGGAGATTTTTATTTGAAGTTAGACGAGCATGTAACAGTTTTTTTCTCGAATAACAATAAAACAACCATTCTGTTAAGCGCTTTTCTCTTTGCCATACTAGTATGATAGAAGAAATATTTTCGTAGAAACCATATCAAATAAGAAAGAGAAATATTCATTAAAATTTCTATCGTCATTTATTGAAATATACAAAATTGACAGGTCAATTTATAACCTCATATAAACAAGTAGCGTTCGTTGTTATGATTCGCTTGATCCGTAACTAAATGTTCCACTCTTTATGTATTGCTTGTTAGTTTACAAGTCTAATCAACACTAATATCAAATATATGCATGCAGTTGGATGTGTGCGGGTCTGACTTTGGATGTTCACATACGTGTCCGTGTGATTCTTCTCTTCACCTATTCAACCAATCACAATTACACTCACACCCAAACGCAATTACCGTCATACTTCAAACCGACACCACATACATTTACTACATGAATACATCCATACTCACACCCACAATCCACACCCACACCCACATCAGGGTTGGAACCGGTTCGGCCAACCGGTGCCGGACCGGTTCAGGAAGTCAACCGGCCCGATAGATACCAAATTTTCGCTGATTAGACATGTAATTCCAGCCGGCCGGTTTCCGATCGGATCGGATCGGTAGGATTTTTCAACCGACTGTCTGGACCGGTTTACTATTTTTCAACCGGTTTCAATCCTGACCCAAATCCATAGGTCCACGAAAAAATAAATTTATCCCATTTTACTTTTATGCGGTAGAAACTGGTAAGATTTCCATATTCGCTACACTTTAGTTCCTTTAGGACTTTTAGAATATAGATGCGAATGCGAGTACAAGTGCCGTTGAAGTAAGGCTGCCAAAGGGTGCTAAAGAGACTAAAAGTAAAACGGGATAAATTTAATTTTTCGTAAACCCTTCCCTCACCCATACCCTTAATAAATCGAAAGATTTTGATCAACATTTAAAAAGTCACGGTCATATTTTAGCAACAAGAACTATGACATCTATTAAAAACGAGAACGATCACAACCCAATATTATACATATGATGGGCAAAGGTCCAATTGAACAGATATGTCGAAATCGAGAGTAATTGACGAAAATTGTATCAGCTTTATTATGTATATATATTTTAAATTTTTTTTATTGTTTTAATTAGATTGTTCAAGAAGAACTAAAATCACTTATGTTCAGCTTTAGAAAATCGGGGAATAGAGTCTCGTCTACGAATTTATTTTGTCTACGCCACTAGTAACAGAACTGATGAGGTCCGGGAGTGCGGAGATATCCTTAAGAAATTCTTCATCTTTCAGGCTTATCCAATCGTTGAAGATGTTCTCTCCAACATTTTAGCAAGTATTTAATAATATTAACA